AGGGGACAGCACGATCCTGTTTACAGGATTTAGTGACCAAGAAATAGGAGACTCAGTTTTAACTCTGAGGTCCGCAACTTTTCATCTTTTGTGATCATAGAGTATATTTAGCCCTGGTATGTAGCTTGCTCCCATCTGTGGGGAACAAGCTCTTCATATAAGTCATATTTAGAAGTGACCCAGTGTCCTTGCTACCAAATTATCAGCACAACAACTGTCTAATTCCCCCGCTGGTGTCCTCAGCTCAGAGGCAGGCCGGTCAGAGCTGCATTTATCATTCGAATTACTGGGCATGTGTTTAATACTACAGAGTTAGGGACCAGTATGCCAACAGCTGCTCAAAGGAAAGATGAGATCAAGTACAAGCTGGACTGCTCTGAAAATTCAGACATGTGCACGAATCTGCTGCCCGGGGACTAAGCGGCACCAGCCAGACCAGAATGGGAGAATTCTGCATCTGCTGCTCCCCAGCTCCTGCAACAAGGGGAAAGGATGTGGGTGCTGCTGCCAGGGTGGCTGCCCTTGCACTGGTGAGGATGAAGAGCAAACCCACCGAAGGCAGCGGAATCAGGCAGAGAAGACAGCGCAACTCGAGTCGTGTGCTGCAAAGACGAAGCTGGGCCAGCTCAGCCCAGCCCCCCACCCCATGCAGACCTGTGCCCCGCCTGCACTGGAACAGCACAGGGCATCCTTCACCCGGAGCCTGTCCCCTGCAAGGGGCCTAGCAGCACCTCGAGCTTAGCACCTTTAGGTAGCCAAGCATAAGGTCAGTTTACCAGACCATGCTCTCTGTTTGGATTGCTCTACAGGTCTGTATCAGATGCAAGACATCAGCAAATTGTGCCCAAGTAAGGTCAGTTTACCAGACCATGCTCTGGATTGCTCTACAGGTCTATATCAGATGCAAGACATCAGCAAATTGTGCCCAAAACCAAACCAAATTGTATACCAAGCCCTTGGGTCCGATACCAGCATTTGCCACCTTGAAGTAGATGCCTAAGAAAATTCGCAAAGCCATCTGAGCTGCTTATAAATATATGCCTATTATAAAAAAAAGGGGGAAAAAAAAGTATCTCTTTCTGACTGGCAAGCATTTGGTCTGAATAGCAGCAACCATGCCCGAGAACCCGCAGCTGAAGCCGTTTGGAAAACAGATTTGAGTGTTTCTTAGGAAATCCCCCCCTCCAAAAAGCTTTCATGTTATTGGCACAGGATAAACAACAGGTGCCATGTGCGCCATCCCCATGGGAGCCGCCTGTGACCCAGAGCAGGCCGGGGTCCTGCAGCGGGCCAGCTTTTCGGTAAGCGGTGCAATAGGAAGCCAGAGCAGGGGGGATGCCAGCTGACAGCGGCCAAGCAGAGCGAGGCCAGCGCACGCCCTTTTATAAGCGTAACCACAGAAAAGATGAAAGTTTGTTTCCTTTTATTTTTAACCCAGTAGAGAAGTGTTAAGGATAAACAGCTGCAAGGGAGGGTGAGCTGACACAAAGAGGTACTTTCTTTACTTCCTAACGGCAGCAGCATCAGCACATGAAAATTTCAGACTCAAGATTTCACTCCTTCTGATGCTGCCTGAGACCAAATGTGGGCCAGAGTCAGGGGGCCACCAAAATAAGCAACTACACAAGGATGGGCAATGGGGTCTCTGCAGCAACAACCTCCAATGTGCAGATATGGAAAGAGCTGGATCCCACTGCAAGAGACAGCGACACATTTCCAAGAGCTCAGTCACTCAGTCACTGGTAGATCTCCCACACCGATTAGCTCCTCTGCTGAGGCACAGGCACAGGAATGCATCTGCTGCACGCCGCCTGCGTCCCGAGCAGCAAGCACGGCTGCGAAGAGGAGAACCAGGGAATCCCCACTCCCTGCACAGGCTCAAGCCTGTCTCGAGCACTGGAATCCCAGAGGAGAGGACCAAGAGAGGGGCACCAAGCTCTGCCACGTCACTCCTGGTCAAGTAGTCTACACAGTTGCTCCTAGCAGCTTCCAAGAAATTTCGCATATTTCTCAAAACTTCTTAGAAGGGACACTGCTGCAGTAAGAGACAGCTCCGTCTGGGGAGAGAGGGTCTCCCCTTTCTCCGATCGCCACAGCGCAGCTCTGTGCTGGCTGGTAGCTGCAGGGACACGCAGTGGCATTGCCAGCTGCCTCCAAGCAAAGAGCAGTCTGGAAGCTCCAGGCTAAGCCCCCAGGCCTAACGCTGCTTCCCCAAACTCAGAAGGCAGACCTCCCAGTCACCCCGACACAGGCACATCCCTTGCCTTGCGTTACTGTTAAGGTCTCTGGTTACGACAATCTAGAGACTACTTTTCAAACCAGGATTTACTGCTGACTCCGTGCTGTCTGCCGCGCGAGTGCCTCCCCTGCCAGGGCAGCAGGAGGAAGGAGAGAAGCTCTTCATGGTTTCTCTTTCTGTTCCGCATGCCCCAGACAATATTTACAGCTGCATTCAGGTGCCTGGGGCTGGGGGGGGGGGAAGCCTTCAGTTTATAAATAATCCTCACTGATGTTTGGTTAATTTTCATAGTTTCCATTCATTTTGGGTTTCACCAAAACCTGCATTTTGTGGCTTGATAGAAGGAACACGATTGGCTGGCTTTCTCTTATTTAACTGCCTAGCAGTTATGGGTTGTTCATTCAGTCTCTTCCTTGCCAAGTCCAGCTTGCACACCTAGCACCCCATGTCCCCTAACAATCATCTTTTGGAAGCCACGTGCCAACCCCTGGGCACAAACACCTTGCAGCAACAGGAACTGCAGGAGGGAGAACCGGGCAACGTCTTACACCGTGGGCAAAGCAGACGAGCTGCTGAGCTTCACTGGGGGAAGGTCCAGATCCACTCCACACAGTGCAGAGCAATCTGACGGAGCTTGCAGAAACAGACAGACCCCAATAAAATCCTCGCCTATCCTCAAATCCCACAGAGGGCCAAGGAAATTGTGGGTTCAAGGGAATGCAAGAGTGGAGCCTGGCAGGCTCTTAATTTTGTTGGTCTACAAAAGAGGTCAGACAAAGAGAGAACTGGCAGCCAAGCTCCGCTGCTTGGCTGAGCACCTGAGGCTTTGCACAGAAACCACAGAGCAGCCCCAGCCATGGTGCTCAGGTAAACGGCTCCACATTTTGCCAAACCCACATATTCAGTGACTCTGCTCCAGCAGTGACTGAATGCAACGAAATTCTTGTTTACTGATGCTTGCAAATAATGATATATAATCCCCTTCCTCCAACCCTCCAGTATGCTGGTTCCCGTCTCTTGGCAACTGATACATAATTTATAGTGCTCTCTGCCTGTATGTGCTAACTGCAGCCCTGCTGGTTTAATGATGAAACCAATGCCTAAGAACTGGAACAGTAACAGTCTAGATCACAAGGAACACATAGTCAGTTGATCTCACACTCCTCCGTACGTGAAACTAAAAGCAAACTGGGCAAAAAGAAAAGCTACATCTCCCAGAGCTGCAGGGCTGCGGCTGCCGGGGTAGGTACGGCGCCCACAGGAACAGCAGATTATCTGCAAGAGGCACAGGCGTGCGCCAGGCTCCTGCCAACACGAGGAGCTTAGCGTGCTTCATCATTCTACTCTTTTCCATCAGCATGCATGGAAAAACTCCTAACAGGCTGGTTTGATCGCCAGCTTCTCCTGTGTGAACTGGAAAGCCTCTGGGGTTCACATCTGGAAGGTACCACTGCTGCCCACTTTGGGGGCTGAGAAAACTATTGTAGCTCCCACACAAGGGGAGGTATTAAAAAGCTGCACCTTGTCTATGTAGACTACAGTGGCTCTTGCACCAAAAGAAAAAAAAAAGACTCTTCATTTCACGACAGATGTTCTAACAGAGCCAGAACCACTTACAAAAACTGGCATGTTTGGACCATACACAACACATGTACACTGGGTGTGCACTATTATGGCAACACGGCCTCTTACATCCATAAACTCACTGGAATGAGATTACCCAGGCAGTTGGCAACTGCAGCCATCAGGGCAGAGCAGTGAAAGTTTCTATTTTGTTTTTAGCAGACCTTTCTTTAAAAAAAAAAACAAAACAGAAAACCACCCACCCCACCCCCCCAAAAAAAAGTAAGCGGAGAGCAGGAAAGGGATGAAGTATTTCTGTTGACAAAGGCCAAAATCCCATCTATTTATATTAGAGCCGCACAAAACCCACAACACAGCAGTGCTCAAAAGCTTTAAAAAATGCACCTACTTTCTTAATGCTCTTAGAAAATAATAATAAAAAACCCCTATCAATATTCGCTTTCTGAAATGGTGCAAAAAAAAGAACGGCATCAATCATTAAACAGTTAAATGAAGGCGGTATGACAGTCACTATTGTTCTCGTGAAGCACACTTGTCTTTTGCCGAGCAGCTGCCAGATCCTATTAGATGTATAAAAAGGGGACTTTTCTAACTGAGCCGGGATGGTATAAGCTATTGAAAACAGCAGACAAAAGCCCACTTTTGCAGACTATTCAAGCCTTGTATAACATCTGTCCAAAATCAATTTTTGACCTAATGTTACTTTCATTAAGTAACAGACTTTGTTCCCAATGCAATTTATTTTCTAGGATAAAACTGTATCCTAAGCATTATTACGTGGGAAACAGCCCAGAGGAAGCAGAAGATCTTATTTGAGAAACATGAACAGAATTTGCTTAATTGTTTTGACACCTTAAGTACTATAATAGAGAAACTATTTTCCATTTATTTGAATTCTCATGAATTCTTGAAGTTAGCAAAGCAGCGAGCAATGCATTGGGTTTATTATGACTAAGATTTACTGAGGATAAAGGAGGATCTTTGGGAATTACATTAAAGCTGACAAATGCACAAAACTTCTGAAATGTTCACCAGAAATAAGTACTCCAACATTAACAACAGCTGTTGAAACTGTCCACTCTTGACGGCTGAGGCTTTTTTCACGCGTTTTAAATAATGAGGAAGTTGATTCATGAATTTGATTTCAAACAGACTGTTAAGAAACATTTCCACTTACCCAAAGGGCCTCTGAATGAAGGCTGGATGTAGCTGCTGCACACCTATGGTAAAACCTAAAAAAAAGTTCAGAAGAAAAAGGAAGTATTAATGAATGCCATCCATTTAACTTTCAACTCGTAATATACCTGCATAACTGCACCTCAGACCACATGTACACGCATTTCATCTGCTGTGCATGTGAGCAAATTCAACGCCCTGTTTAGAAGCGAGTTAATTTTAATATGCATATGTGATATGCACGAGGACCAGATGGGAATTCAGATTAAAGAACAGTGTGAAAGTGCTGTTATTCAACAGACAACGGGGAATAAAGCCTTATTTTACACACTGGGTACTGCAGGCAGAACGATGGATCTTGCTGTTAATACCGATGTAACGAAGAAAAGTGAAAAACAGATCAGCCATGGAAGAAAAGGGCTTTGACCAAGTTATACAAACTTAGGTGCGCAACACTGGTCTAATGGGTAGAAGTAAGAAGATACGGAAGAGAGGTAACTGGACTACAGCAGCCTCAGTCGTCGGGCAGAGCTACGAGGGATGAGCACGCGTCATCAGATCAGATGAATCCAGCCCGAGTAACTTGTTTCCTCATCTCACAAGTTATTCTAATAGAGAGAGACGGGATCTCCTGGGTGCCTCACCAGTTTGAATACTCCTTGGTTTTGCTCCCAAATATGCCAGGTTCACATTTGCTTTCCTGCCATCGATGATGGGGTTTGGGTCTTTGCACGCTCTTTCAGCTGCAGCTCTGTCTGCCATGGTCACCTGGAATTAAGCACAGCCTTGTTTGTAGCAACAGCACTCTGTAAACACTCCAGCAACAGGCAATAAGCAGGGTTTATTTATTGTCCTGTTTTGAATCGGGAGCTAAGCTCGGCTTCATACGGTCTCAACTCGCACAGCAAGACAGGAAGGGGTCCCGTGGGCTTGACAGAGAAGGGGGCTCCCACCTTGCCAAGTTACTCGCTGGGCTTACACCCCTCGTCTTCCCTCACCTTCCCAGCCCCTCCCCCGTGCTTTTTTAAGAAGTTGGTGGAATCAGTCCCAAGCCTCCCCGCAGCAGGGGCAGCTCAGGGCAGCCGGCAGGCGGGGACCCGCACTCCCCAAACCCG